CTGGCCCACTGGCATAGTGGTTAAGTTCACGTGCTGCACTTGAGCCCCCCAGGGTTCATGGGTTCAGATCCCAGGCACAGACCTACACCACTCATCAAGCCATGCTGTGGCAGCAACCCACATTAAAGATAGAGGAGTCTGGGCAACAGATGTCAGCTCAGGGCTAATCTTCCTCACCAAAAAATAAAAGTAAAAAGACATTTTAAAAAGGCACTGGACTTGAAGACCTGAGATCTGGATTCTTATTTCAATTTGGTCACCCTGTGTTTGAGGTCTGAGGCTCTTTTTCTCAAGCTGACAAATGAGAGGGTTGCACCAGATGGTCACCGAGGTCCCTCGTAAATCTGATACTCCAAAACTCCGTGATCATTTTGATCAGTTAAATAAATGCATCTTTAGAAACGGAAAGTAAAAACATCACTCATTTAAACCCAAATTTTCATTAGGCCAAAAGAATAAAGACAACTATGCCAAAGCTGTCCATGGTTTAGCAGAAGTGAAATCACAGGCAGAATTTCAAACAGTAAGTTTTGATTAGAGGGAGTTCAAAGCAGTCATAATTTACTTGCTCTTCAAAGAAGCTCTTAACATACACCTGCACAAATTACCAATATAAAATGGTTGGCAGGTACAAAGCAAAAGACAAGAACTATATGGAGTAGACAAAGAGTTATCTTAGACACCGGAGGATACTTTAGAACAGCAACTTGAGAAAGGAGGAACATGACAAGCTGAGCATTATAGAATACATTCATTTTTCAAGCAATCTAAAAGCAGCAATCCAAGCAATGAAATAAAATCAGCAAGTCTCACCACATGGGGCAGCCAAAGCTGCAGTCTCCACAAAAGAAGGATGAACGGAATGTGTCTCTGGGGATTAGGTGTTTAAGGGAGGAGAAAGTTCTTATAACAGCTGCTACTTGTGATGGATCTCAAGGATCTTTTTAAAGGAGTAGATAAGGTATTGAAATCCTTGCATCCTGCCTGGACTCAATCCTTTGGGAAGGGAGTAGAGCAAGAAACAGAAGCTGAAATTTGTTGCTAGAAAATGCTGGACATAATTTTAAATATAATACTTTTTTATTTGAAATGTAGTCTACGCCCATCTTAGAAAAAATTGCAAAAGGAAGAAAGAAACACAACGGAAAACATATTTTGATTGATCTTCTAGACACAACTTTACTTCTAGATTTTTCTCTGGAACAAAATCTCAGATAATCCAAAAGACGAATTATTCTTGACATTATTAGCCACACACCTAGAGGGAGTGTGTTCAAACTGGAGGACCTGGGAGAGGTGGGCTGTTATCTTTTCTGTCTCTCCACTTCTAACCATAAATACAATTGTGCAGATATTACTTAAAGAGCCTAGGAATGTGGAGGGCTTAACAGAGTTTGCCCAAGCTACTAGGTCAGGCTACAGGGAAACTAACTACTTCCACTACTAGAACTAGCTTTCCTATAGGCCTAGCATCACTTCTTGGACAAAGGCTGTAGCAAGGATTCCCATATACTAGGCTTCCCTATAATGGGAATTATCAAGGTACAGTTCCCTGCATTAATCCCGTAGGTTCTCCTCCCATACGCCAGCACTATTCACTCACGATTCATGAGGAGTAATGGATATTCAAGTATAGACATTATCTAGTAGCAGTACCTGCTACATCTATGTTCTACCAACTCAGGGAAGTAAAAGTATTTTACCACGTAGCCCCACCCTTATCCCCTGTTATCTGCAGAGCACTTGAAGAGCATCTGGAAACCCTTGTGTGGCGATCTTAGGCTCCCAGATGCAGGCTAGGTCATCTTTTTGGCCTGGGAAATAGAGCAACCGACCACACTGAATGGCATAAAAGCCTCTGTTAAAGGGACTAATGAGGATTCCCACAGGATGTTACAGTGCTAGCCACAAAAACATTAGACTTTTCATTTAAAGCCAGCTGCTAATCCCTGAGACACAGGCAGAGCCGAACACTTATACAGATTTTAAAAGCACTACCAACCAATCCAATACTTTAAACATTTAAATTCTTCCTAGGAGGCGAGCAGTTCAAGCTGTGCAGCCAACACCAACTAGTTTTTGCGTTACTTCTAACAAAGAGAACAAAAAACCCAAAACTCTAACCCTGGAGCATTCAAATCCTGACAATACACCACATAAATCATCTCTTCAAAAGAACATGTCAACAATGGAAGGTCGTGACCTCCCCAAACTAAGCACCACTGAGCACCTAAGGAAGCCTTACAAAGCGTGTTGATTGGTTGGTTTTGCCAGGGGCAACCTAACCTTTTAAAGGAATGTGCAAGATATTAAAACTTGTGATTTACTTGTACCGTATGTGCACAAGATCTATGCTGGGACTAGATGTTGAAAAACATGGCATTCAGAAAGAAAGAGTGCCTGGGCTGGCTTTTCTAAAGACTTGGGAGAGGATTTCAGGATCCCCTCTCTTATTTCTTAATCCATCTTAAAGAGTTAGGAAAGGGGTCTGGCCCCATGGCCTAGTGGTTAAGTTCAGTGTGCTCTACTTTTTTGGCCTGCATTTGGTTCCCAGGCACGGACCTATACCACTCATCACCAGCAATGTTGTGGCAGCAACCCACATACAAAATAGAGGAAGAATGCACAGATGTTAGCTCAGCGTGAATCTTCTTCAAGGAAAAAGAAGAAAATTGGAAACAGATGTTGGCTCAAGGTGAATCTTCCTCAGCAAACAAGAAAAGTAAAAGTTAGGAAAGAATCCTGAGGTGAAGTCTGGAAACAAAAATAATTTTGAGGAATTTTCCAGAAATTCCCAGAATCCAAAATTCTTCCCCAAAATTTTAATGGAGCAGAATGTTCTCCCAAAGTCCTTTGAGTTAGCCTACATATGCTGGTTTTAAGTGACTTTAGATAGATGGTTAAATGTCTGAAAGAGATAAATAATGTTAATAAATGTAAACAACTGTTTGGCTGTTGATTGATGATTAAGTTGTATTACCAATACTATAATGGCATATTCCCTCTGTGATGTGATACAGGATATGACTAGATCCATCCACAATGGCTAGGACCAGTGATGTACCAAATGTGTGGATGTTCCTAAATTTCTCAGCTGAAAATATAATCTGACACAACTATTATAGGAACAATATTAGGCTCTTTGTTTTGTTATAGTATTAGCTCTATTTTTTAAAAAAAGAAGAGGACTATCATGAAGTAGATAAATTATGCTAAGAATCAAGTACAATATCCTTACCATCTTCTAGAAGACTCTGCATGAACTAGACCTGCCTCTCTCTTAAGGCTCATATCCTATGACCACGCCTCAAAACTTCAGCCCCTTCTGACTTTGCACTCACTTTCCTCCACATGAAATGCTCTTCCTTCACTCTGTCTTTGCAGAGTTAACTCCTCCTTACTTGGGTTTCAGCTCAAATGTTACCTTTTCAGGGAAATGTTCTTAACTGACTAATCTAAAATAACGTCATACCCTAGGTAACTCTATGTTTTTCATGGTTCTTATTCCTATCTGAAATTATCTACTTTATTGGTTCATTGTCTTCTTTGTTTCTACAAGAATATAAATTCCATGGGGATAGGAAACTTTTATATCATGTTTATTGCTGGAGTCCTATTTTCTACAAAAATATCTAGAATATTTGTTAAGGAATTAATAAATTAAGAGTACAGTGGTTTCCCAAGAAAGAAAAATTAAAGAAAGATTTTGTTGCTTCAGTACTGGTATGTGTCTAGCTCAGTACTTGGTACATATCATAAACACCACAATCAATAAGAGGTTAAAATACCTCCAGTTTCCTTAATGTGTTATTGCTATCCATGTGGCATGAATAAAATCAAAGTCACATGCAGTATATGTTTACATTTTTCAATGAGGGTTGTATACCTTTGTTGACAACTGACTCCCAGCACTTCATTTAATGCTATACTGAGGAATGTTCTAGATTTTTGTACTCATCTATCTCTAATCAAATTAAGCCAAGTCTATACCTTAGCCAAACACTGCACTGATCCAAAGTTTATTATCCCTTGTTGGAATCCATCAGAGAAGATGGCCTATGTTACAGTACGGTTTTCAACTTCTCTTCAACATTAGCTGTTTCTCTTCTCCCAGGATGTGACCCTTGGCTACTCCTACTAGAGACCTTCTTTTAATATTAGGTTTGATAATAAATTTGGGAGCCCCATCAAGCCTAGGAATGAGTTGTGCAAATAAATATTATCCCAGAGTTAGTGGTTATCTTTTCAAACAATAATCTTGTCATCCAACCTGCTAGGGAGCTCCCCTGGAAAATAATTTAAACATTGATAAATGGTTGAAACCTAATCCACCTCATCCCCAACCTCTGCCCACTCTCACAACCCCTGCTTTAAATTAATTCCATCTAAGCAAAAAGTAAGTTGAATTTTAAAAGATTCCAACGCCTTCTCATTTGAGGTCCCACCAGGTTACTGCTAGATTGTTTGGAATCTGGCTGCTTCATTACTGCTATCAGTATCAATTAATGAATATGTCTATTATCTGTCAATGTCAATGTCTTTAAAACCTCTTGACTGGGTCTCTAATTGAAAGACATTAGATGACAGGGAAGTGATTTCTCTACCTTTCTTTTGGTGTCTGACACCATTAATGTGATTAATGAGGTGACCAGGGAACCCAAATCACTTGTCACCATTAGACTGTTTAATACAATAGCCAAATCTCAAAGGTGGGGAAGGAATGAGAACAAAAGTCTTCTCTTATCTCTGTTCTCTACTTTATCAAGGAGACAGACAACCTAGCTTGTGTCAATCTGTTTGTAATAGTAAACATTTTATAATAGTATATGCTAAGAAAATGACAAGTGTTTATTTGGTTCCAAATTATTTGTGACGACTAAGAATTATTTTATTTTTAAAGCTTAAGAGTACACTCTAAATGATTGAACAATGATTATAAAATAGAAAAAAAATAGCTGGATCAATGCCTTTGAAAGGGGGCAAAAGGAAGATACACTCACCAATGGAAGTGATGGACTTTTAGCAAGGGTCCAGCAGTAGTTCTTGCTTCAGATGCAGCTGGATCTACCCGTCCCACACTTTGCCCCCATCCCTTTCTTCCTCTCTCCCCCATTTCCTCTTTCTCCTTCCATTTCTCTGCTCTAATTGTCTGTATTGTTTTCGAAATCCTGAGAAAAGGGAGAAAGAGATTGGGAGAGAGAGAATTTCTTTTCTATCACTGCAGTAAAATCTCAAAATTGACACAAACCTGGCTTGGGTTACTTGCTGAGTCTTAGAGGATGAGAATGTAACATACACTGATGTGTTCATGTGATTCACATGTCCAGTCCTGGAACAGGAGGAAGTAGTTCACCTCCATGTGAAACACACTGCTGAGAGTAAAAAGTCACACTGCTTTCTACCCATGAAAGGAAAAATCAGTCCTAGGTAGCCAAACAATAAAAATAAAATATCTGCCATAGAAGGCATAAACGGTTTTTAAAGAGAAACCGGGTTTGTGTTTGATCACACAAACTTTTCTGCAGAGTGATGGACTGATGAGCATTCTCATGCATGGCTGGTGGAAGGGTAAACTCTAGAATTTCCCTGAAGGGAAATTTGGAAAGATTTTAGACATGAGCATACACCTTGATCAGGCAAGTACCATTCTAGGAATTTATATTAAACAAATAAATCTTCACAAAAATGTAACTAGAGTGAGGTTTATCTCAATGTATATATGAGAACATAGAACTGGCAGCAACCTAAATGTCCAAAAAATAGGGGAGTAGATTAAAAACAGCATGGAGAGTACTTTTTAAATTTATGTATTTATTTATTTGTTATTTATTTATAAAATCTGAAAATATACACACCAAGAGACTAGGAGTGTCTAACCGTGGGTGGCTGAAATATGGGTGATTTTTCCTGCCTTCTTTTTGCTCCTCTCTGTTTACCAATTTTTCCCCAGTGAGTATAAACATGTATCAATTGTGTAGTGTTTGTATTCTGAGAAGCGGGCAGCTTGAACACAGATTCCTAATTCACTCAAATACCCTTTCTAAGTAATTCCATATTTGGATGGGAGGCACTGTGAGCAGGAAATAGGATATTTCTCAGATGTCTTTAGAAACCAAGAATCAACTAAAAACTATTCTCTTTGCTGTTTGTCCTAAGCCAAGAGGTCAGATCCAGGGGAGAGGGCTTACCAATGTTTGGGGTCTCCGATGATGACAGGTTTCTTGGTTCCCTGAGGAAAATCAGCAGGTAGATACCTGGGTTCATCTTCCAGAAACACTATACGTGTCTATTCACTGCATGTGGTACAGCAGGCACCTTCCAGAAAACCTGGAAGGAATTACACAGAGGGGAAAAATGCCCCCAGTCCCTGAAGTGGGGAGAGGAATGCCACTTGTACCCTAATTTCACATGATATTTTAAAATTAATTCCAGATTAAATAATGATTTAAATACAAAATTTAAAATAGTTAAAACATTATAAGAAACTTTTTGAAAATATTTGTATAACCTGAGTTATACAACATCTTCTTAAGAAAACCTAAAGAACCTATGTAATATTTCATTACATAAAAATTTAGCTTCATTCATGGCAAACATAAGCAGAGTTAAAAGAAAAATGGGAGACTGGGGAAAATAATTTCAATGCCTATGTCAGATAAAAGGTTTATATTCCTTACATAAAAAGATCTTGAGAAATAATCAAGAAAAAGAAAAGTAACTGAAGGGAAAATAGATAAAGAGGAAAAGACAGAAGAGGAAATCCTAGTGACGAATAGACAAGAATTCTCTTAATCTCTCTAAGGCTTAGCGAAATGCAAGTTAAAACAATAATAAGATGTCCTTTTTTCATTCATCTCATACAGTAAGAATACAGCACTGATGAGGAAACATGAATATGTAACCTCTGATATGTAATAACTTGCAAATTACAATGATCCCCCTTTTGGAAAGTAATCAGACAATGGCTATTAAAATTGTAAATGCTTACCACCTTTGACCTACTAATCTCAATTTGGGAATCTGTCCTAGTGAAATAAAAATCCTTGTGTTATATGAACAAAGACATCTATGGCAACAGCAGTTTACGATGGCAAAATAAAAAAAAAAAAAATACAGGGCTACAATAGAGGAAATAATTGGATAAATCACAACACATCTGCTCCATGCAACAGTCCATAGGAATCAAAAAGAGTAGGCTAGACCAGTGGTTCTCAAAGTCTGCCCCTTGGACCAGCAGCGTCAGCATCACCCAGGAACTTGCAAGAAATGCATATTATCAGGCCCAACCCTAGTCCTACTGAATCAGAATCTCTGAGGATAGGCCCAATAATCTGTCTTAACAAGTTATCCAGGTGTTTCTGATATACGGTAAGATCTCTATCAATTGTCTTGAGAAGTCTATTCATATTGTTAAGTGAGAAAATTAGATTTCAGAGTAATAAATTTAATGATTCATTTTTATAAAAATGAACATCCATAAGGCATACACTTTCTTGCCATGTACTCATACTTTTGTATGAGAAAGCAGAAAGTTGTGGAATGGTACTTCTGATGCTGTTGACATTGATTAAGGTAGGAAAGGAGTAGAATGGGAGAAATAATCTCTCTCTTCATGCATCTTTGTTTCATTTTCCACTGGAAACAGTGAGCATATGTTACTTTCTTAATTTTAAAAAAAGAACATTTAAATAATAAATTAAAGAAAAATTAGTTGCTGAACATAGATTTTCACCTGACCTAGATCAAACAGACTCCAAACTAATTGGGCATCAATTGCGAAGAGAAGCTTCCTTTCACCAAGTCTTAATTGGCCTTAAGATCTAGTTAGTGAGAACCCTGGCATAACCCTTCATTACACAAAATATTTAAATAGGTAGATTGGTCAGAGCAAGGATTCTTGGATTTGCATGAAGGAGCTAAAAAGTACAACTCCTCTGGATTATTTTCTCCAAACTACCTTTTTAGTTAAAGTTGAGACCCATCCATTGGACCCTCTGGAGAGATTACAGTCACTGAAAGCAAATTACATAGATGCCAACATCTATAATACAACTTTATGCATGGTTTACAAAACGTGGAAATTTTGTCCACTGGTACTTTATTCCAGTCCTTCTTTCCATTGTGTTTTTTGGATTTTTAAATTTTATATTATTTTATTGAGGTCACATTGGTTTATAACATTGTGTAAACTTTAGCCATACATCATTATACTTCAGCTTCTGTATAGACTGCATCGTGTTCACCACCAAAGGTCTAGTTTCCATTCATCACCATATATATGCACCCCTTTACCCCTTTTGCCCTCTCCCCACCCCCTTGCCCTCTGGTTAACCACAAATCTGTTCTCTGCATCTATGTGTTTGTTTGTTTATCTTCCACATATGAGTGAAATCAGTGATATTTGTCTTTCTCTGTCTGACTTATCTTGCTTAGCATAATACCCTCAAGGTGCATCCATATTGTCGCAAATGGCACAATTTCACCTTTTTTATTGCTGAGTAGTATTCTCCATTGTTTAAAATTATAAATTGTGTTTTAAATTATAAATTATGTGTGTAGAAACAATAGTTTCTTGTTTAAAACCCTAATCATTCATTGAAATACCATTTTTCAGGTCAAATTAAGTTAAATGTTGAATTATTAGTTTTTTTTTGGCTAAGAGTTTCCTTTCAAGGACAAAATATTCCAATATTATCACCTGAGATTGAGCCTATTGATATCTGAAGTTAGTTGGAAAATACATTTACTTGAAAAGAGCTATAAAGCCAACAAGTACATGACTATGAGGTCCAAAAGTTACATCTCAGGAAGTCACAAAAGCTAACACCATGGGCCAGAATAATGACAGAGATTACATAAATTTAACTCATGATGTTGACTTCTTCCTTTTAATTACTTAGCTCTTGAATATAGTCAATAGTCTGATGAGCTCTGATTATGGAGAACTCAGCTAAAAATATTTTGAATTAATTGTCTGCAATGTGATACTTAGGATTCCAAAACTTTAGTCCCCCTCTCCACACATTCTTTTTCCAAGGGACAACTTTAAGGTCGTAACTGAAGTGACTCTCCAGTGAGTAATTCCCAGGTGATTTGATTTTTGTATTTTGCTGGAAAATTAAGAATATTTACTTATCCTTAAAAAAATCTATATTCCACTGAAAGGAACCTAGATTTAAAATTTCCCCAAGACTAAAAGAAATACTTCCAGGGGCTGGCCCTGTGGCCGAGTGGTTAAGTTCACGTGCTCCACTGCAAGCGGCCCAGTGTTTCGTGGGTTCAAATCCTGGGCGTGGACATGGCACTGCTCATCAAACCACGCTGAGGCAGCGTCCCACATGCCACAACTAGAAGGACTCACAATGGAGAATATACAACTATGTACAGGGGGGTTTTGGGGAGAAAAAGGAAAAAAATAAAATCTTTAAAAAAAAATAAAAGAAAGAAATACTTCTGTAACCTAATCTGTCATAGCGGTCTAAATGAGAATTTTCCCAAGACAACCTCATAAAAAGAAGCCTTTTGCAACTAGACTTAGAATAGATTAGACTTATATAATTTAATTAACAAAGTCCACTGTAATTCATTAGAAGTAAATCTCTTTTAATCTTCGAAATTTATTGTCTTCATTACTGTTGCAAAGAAGTTCTAACCCATGATTTTATCTGTGCCTTTCCACAGAGCCACTCAGAGTCCTGAGAAAACCAACTAATTTTATTACATGCTTTAGTCCACAGCAGATACAAACAAATAGAGAAAATTCTTTCTGCCTTAGCTCTAAAATTTTGCTCTGCATTAATATATTCCACTAGTCTAAGTAAATAGTCTTTTCTTCCTTCAAGCAAATATTTGAGAACCTACTATGTGCCAGTTCTTGCCAAGTACTTCAAGTACGTAAGAAAAATCAAGACAAGGAGTTGACATAAGTAGTTTACGTTACAGTGAAAGTGTATCCCTAAAAAGATGGCTTAACTATTTTTTGCTAACTCAATAATTGCTTAATCAGATATTTTACTTCACACCCATGTTATTTCCTATCCTTTAACAACTGATTAATGCATTTTCCTGTTTTGCTTTATACGTTTTACCACCTCCAACATTGTTCTTTTGGATATTTCCCTTCATTGAGGCAAGATGGCCACTGGTACCGAACCAAGGAAAAGATTCTGTTTACCTTCCAAAAGTATTTGACTTTATTTCTACAATATAACACCCCTTCTCTTATCAGAGTGTTCTGAAATGCTTGGAGTGGAGAGAATATTTTTATTTAAATATCAAGAATTTGTGCCTGCATAATTTCAAGCACAATACCTTCTCCCGATAGGATTCATATGTTGTGCTGAGAGAGTTTATCAGTTCTATTTGTGGTGTTAATGGAAGTTCAAATTGTTAAATTAGATTCAGATACTATATTCATGGTCCGTATTAACAAGAAAAAAAGCAGACAACTGAATAGATTTGGAAACTGTGCGTGTTCAAGGCAATGAGCATATTAAGTGTGAAGAGAAAAGTAATGTAGTTTTAGCAAAAAGTCTTTCTAATTTAAACTCTCATCCATGGCTGTGGGATTTTTTTTTTCTCACTAAATTTTAGTCTGCTCTATAGTCCTAAAGAGACTGCTCAGTAAAGGAAGGAAAAAATCTGATTTTGAAAACTTCATGTTACTGAAATTCCCACCAGTTGTTAACATCCCTCTGAGTCACAGCCAGACTCTAAAGGTGAGAGAGTGTATTCCCTCCTACAAAGTTCCTTCTGTTAACCAGAGGAAGCACAGAATCTTGGGTCTGAAAGAGTTCAAGGTCACCACCCCTATCAGATACTAAATTTCCCACATTTGCAGTCAGAGATTATCCACAAAATGCTTCTATGCATCAGAAACAACAAACTTTTAAAAAGTTTGATGCCATCCAGTAGGAGTGTTCCTGGAAAATTTCTTTAACTTAAAACTGTCTTTAACTAAAGTACTTTAAACTTCACACTAGAATTCTTAGAAGGGAGATCTATAGAACCCATACTAGGATTTTCTATTAGAACTACAACAAAGAAAATATGAACCACTATCTCCATCCAATTGTTAGGAATGAAGATGCTGGAGTTAAAATGCACATTACTCACTCTCTCTAATCTCTTGAAGCCTCAGCTTCTTCACATGTAAAATGAGGATGAAAGTTATGCCCATCTCAAAGGTCTTTTCTGAAGATTAAATGAAATAAGGTGCTTAGTACATGCCCAGCACACAGTTCCCAATCTACAAATTCATGATTCAACAAATATATCTGTGCTACTCTTTGGTTAGTTGCCATATTTTTACTCCATCATTTTCATTAATAGACTCTAAGTGGCTAAGCAATTTCACTGGCATTTTCAAAGAATCAAATTAGTATTTATTGATCTTCTCTAGTCTTTTTTTTTGACAATTGTCTTTACAAAGCCATCCTGATATGTTGGGTTTTTTTTTTTTTTTTGAGGAGGATTAGCCCTGAGCTAACATCTGCTGCCAATCCTCCTCTTTTGCTGAAGAAGACTGGCCCTGAGCTAACATCTGTGCCTATCTTCCTCGACTTTGTATGTGGGATGCCTGCCACAGCATGGCTTGCCAAGCGGTGCCATGTCCGCACCTGGGATCCAAACCAGCGAACCCAGGGCCGGCAAAGCGGAACGTGTGCACTTAACTGCTGTGCCACCACGTCAGCCCCACCAACAAAATTTTCATAGGCCCTGTAGCTGCAATGCTGAGAAGCACAGAACAATGAGTAAAATCAAAAGAATGTTTATATTTGAATGTCTGGGCATTTATTCTACGTTGCTTTATTATAAATTTAAAATACCTGGTAGGGGGGCTGGCCCCATGGCCCAGTGGTTAAGTCTGCATGCTCCACTGCAAGAGGCCCAGTGTTTCGTTGGTTTGAATCCTGGGCGTGGACATGGCACTGCTCATCAAACCACGCTGAGGCAGCATCCCACATGCCACAACTAGAGGGACCCACAACGTAGAATATACAACTATGTACCAGGGAGCTTTGGGGAGAAAAAGGAAAAAAAAAAATAGCTGGTAGGAATCAGGATGGGGAGAATTTAAAGTATTTCCACCTGCTTATATACTTTACTCCACTCAGTTTTGATAACATATCTTTATAATAAAAGCCAGCCCAGCGAATTTTTTGGAAGTAAAATTTAATAAGAACTCAGGTATCAGGGCAGAGTGTTCAGTGTAAAATGGGGCCAGCACACTGGATGCAAGGAGGACGCAGGTGATGAAAATCTAGCCGATGTTGAAAATAAATAAGTAAACCATCTGAACAATATGTATGAGGCACCAGAATACTGTGGGACCTCTGCCTCAAGGATACAAGAAACTCCAGGAACAAGTGGCTTAACTTCCAAGACATGGCCAACAACTCTAGGTCAGAGACCTTCGTATTAGTTCTAGAAGTTTATAATCTAATCCCCAGTCCCAGAAAAACATTTAACCATGGATCCAGAGTTCTTTCCAGTTTTATGTGGAGTTATGGGGGGAAAAAAGACTATTTTCACAACTTTGGGCAAGTGGTTTTCACTGAACCTTAGTTCCCTCATCTGCTAAATAGCTACCGGGTGGCAATGGGCCTCATTACATAATGCGTAAGATTATTTTTATCTCCAGCATTTTATAATTCTCTAGTCTGGTTAACATATGTCTATTCTAAGGATTAAAAACATATAAAGAAATCCCAATCACAAATAGCCAGGCTATAACAGACCTTACTAAAATAGTTTTTATCAAATACACGACACTCTGAAGTATTACTTGATAAGACTAGTTTTTAAATAACCCTGTCATTGATAAGTTAAGTTTCAGATGTGAGGGTTAATTATGTCAAAAGCAATTTTGCAACACATAAATTTTATTTACCTAAAAGAATAAAAAGGAAGTAAAATTTTAAATACCTAAAATGAGCCACAAAATATGTGCTGGGTGTTTTACATGTGCCAAATAACTGGAAATCATGAAAATAAAAATTGTGGACTATCGGTCGATAGTGGATGGTATTGGTTCCCTGCCCATATCCCTTAGCTTTCGTTACTTCATTTGCTCCTGCCCTGATACCAAAGGCCATAATCTGCCTCTCTCCCCAAGAGTCTCTGAAGCTGTCACAGGCTGCCGTGTCTGCACCCAAAAAGCCTAAGGTTCCAGGAAACTAACGCGCCCACCCCAGGGAGCAGCCCAACCCAACGGCTGAATCGAATTGCTATATAAATGAGCAGCTTGCTCACTCCACAGGCAAGGTGTGTTTTACACCATTTTTTCAGGTTTTCCCAGAGGTGTTAAGATCTAGTCACCAATAGCAGTGGCTGCCTTGATAGTGCTTCCCACACTGGCCACCTCGCCTTCCTTGTCGCTCTTCCTCACCTCCCTGCTCATGTTTCCTGCACCTGCCAAGCAAACTACTTGTACTCAAGTCCTTGATTTGTCTCAGGATCAGCTTCCGGGGGGACCCAAACAGACTAACAAGAACAGATTAATCTCATTGTGCAAGTAAATCTTCAAATTAAATTATGATTTTGTCCTTTACCACATCACTGATCCACACACTCATGCTCTTTGCCCAAAATCAGGAAGAACTTCAGCAGGAATCATGCATATGCAATCAAGAAAGTGATACCGACTTGCAAAACAAAAATAAACATGGAGGTAAAATTTAACACACACCCTGGGAGCAAAGAACATGACAGACACTTTTTCACAAATGCAGATATTATAGGTTGGAGAGAGTGGGAGAAGACGGTTTCCCTTTAATTACCATTTTCCCTGCTCTTAGAATTTTGAAGATAAAGACTTGGACAAGCATATTTTATCAGGGCAAGTGTGAGCTAAGGGTACATTCTGCTCAACACTGACCTTGAGTCTAAAGGTGAAATTCTGGCATGGACACATCATGGATATAACCTTAACCTAGTACAGGGGTTGGAGCATCATAGGAGCTCAGTGTGTACCCCTAAGTATATAGTGGGAACCAAGGTGGATCAGGCTGGGCTTAGAGGTTAAGAAGGAGGGAGTCAATCCTCTATAACTAGCTAGTAACTCTAGGAAGAAAATTAAAAAGAAACTTCTATGTTTCTTCTAAGTCATCCAGTTCAGCTCACCAAGTTGGGAAGGAAGACTGCTTGTTCAAAAACTCCATGTGTACTGTCTTTCAGGAACTTAGAGGTAAAAATAGAAAGGGAGGTGGAGATTCTCCAAAAGAAAGAAAAACGTCCATCATCCCAATTATGTTTTCAGTAATAAGTCCAAACCAAAGGCAAACTTTAAATTTTACCTTCAGATTGACTAAAGAATTAATTACTGTTCTAATATCTTGATTCTCATGTGTGAAAGTCAAAATTGTAACTTCTCAAATGTCTATTTTTCATATCTCCGAATCTCTTATGAACACACTATGGGTGACAGGCATGCTGTTTTTATCTGGCTTGACCATTATGGAGCCACTCATATTAATAGGTCTGATCCTCCATAAAAGTTACTCTGATGAAGACAAAAGAAACTTAACATTTGACTGATCTTAATCTCCAGTTACGAAGAGTTCGATCCTTTTTGCTAGCCCTCTCCCTTATCTCTTCTCTGTTCTCTTTCAAGGGGAGTTTTTTTGGTAAGCCTAGTTCCCAGGACTTTATCATTCTGAATCTGGAGAAGAGGTGTAGTGATACTGATTGGAGGAAAGCGGATGCTTCAAAAAACAATGGACACATGGTCTGGGGATTGGTAAGACAGGAAGTAAAAGGAGAGAATGAGAAGATCAGGGACTACTATGGGATGTGAAAAACTGAAAGAGGAAAGGGGATTTTATAAAGTGTTGAATTACAGAGCTGTGATGCAAATATAAATCACTAAAATATTTGTCAGGAAGTATGAGCTTAAAGTGAAGTACAGCAGAGTATAGTATAGGATGTATTGTCTGGAACACTAGGCTAAGCTGCCTCTCCTACCCCCTTTCTAGCCGGAAGCTATATACAATGATGTGGATGGGTCCCCAGAGGACTAGCAGGACAATTTTGAAACAATTCATTAGAAAACCAAACCACCAAACAAGCATTAAGCTATCATCTCTCCATCAACCACAAAATCCTTCTGTCTCTAAAAGACAGATGTTTAAAGAGTGAGCATGTGCACATTCTATCTGGGAAAAAGTGGGAATTTTATTTCAGTTTTCTGTGCATCATTAGGTCGCTGGAAATCATGGAAACCTAAATTATACATGCAAGGCATTTCATGCATTGAGACCTCTTTTAGGAAGAAAGTAGCAATCAAATCAGTCAGCTCAAATCATCCTTGACATTAACAAGGTGGCTGTAGGATCATTTTAAGAAATTACTTTCAGCTCCTATTAGCAGACTGATTATACTCTAGCTTCTGTTCTAGAAGCATATGACCAAACTAGTCTCCCAAAATGTATATTAAAAGGATACAATTTCTTTGCCAGTGTTTACATTCAAGTTAAATATTTTTAAGAAAAGAACAAGAATACCAAAAAGTCGGAGGCATGGCAGTTTGCACCTCTTCAGCAAAAGCAATCATCAAGGCAAACATTTTCTGTTTGGGTTGTTGGACATAGATGTATGGACAGAAGTTTAATGTCCATGAAATCTGTTTCCAGTGCATTAGCCATCACATTAAAAGCAACAAACAAGATTCTTTCTTGTTTAAAATGTGTCCCACATGCTCAGAATCAATATTGATCAACAGACTGCAGTATAATTTGGCAGTTCAGAGATGAGAAGATTATGGACACATTTCAATGAAACGATAAATTCAGAGACGACAATTTGTATGCATTATGTATCTAACAATGCTTCCGAAAGACATTTAGGAATCCACCAAGTCAACTCTGAACAGAATCTTGGTCTACTTTGGCAAACAATACAATGTAGATGAATTACCTATGGAGAAGCTATAGGCAATCTTCCATTTCTTTATATAACAAATTCCCAAAATATATTCAAAACTTAAATGCAAAAAAATAAAATGGTCCATGTTAAATCTTAGCTCCACCAATTACTAGTTAAACGATCTTAAATCCTTTAATGTCTCTGATTCATACATTTATTCATTCAACAGATGTTTACTGTGTTCCTGTTTATGTGTCAGACCCTGTTCTAGAGTTTGGGAATACAGATGTCAACAAAAGAGGCTACAATCCCTGCCTTCACATTTTGAAATGAGGGAGGCAAAAAAGAGGACTGAAGACAAATATGTAGTATATTAGAACATGATAAATGTTAGAGAAATAAAATAGAGAATGGAAACTGTTTGGGTGGGGTGTATTAGATATATATTAGATAGATATTTTAGTTAGGGCCAGGTAAGATGTCACCAAGAAGATGACTTTGTTGATAACTCAAAGAAAGTGACGGAACAAGTTGTGCAGATATTTATGGAAAGAAAAAGCATTCCATGAGTGGCAAGTGCAAAGGCCCTGAGG